AGATACCATTCATTACGTATTAAATAAGGGTTTCATCATACACAATTTCCCTTTCTGCAATCTTCTTTCATTGTTAAAAGATGCTCATGTACTGTTTCATCTCTTTTCAGTTTTCGGCTATTTAACAAATCATGCAATTCTCTGGTACTCACCTTTCTTTTGAACTCACGTTGCAATGCCATTCTTAAATTTTCCCATTTGTTGATACCCTCCTCTCTACGAATGAATAACTTCACTATTCCGCTAAGCGACTTCATACCAAAAATAAACTTCTGCAAGTCATTCCACCCCATTAAGCCAGAGGTCTCGTCAAATTGCTCTAACCGTGAATTATCTATACTCTCGTGTGTTCACTTTTTGGGTGTGTCGTCTTGCGTGTTCTCCTGCGATCTCACCTTGAAGAGTGGTGGGGGTCGCCATTGGTGTCCCTACACTATAGTAACCTAGAAAATGATAACTTCCTTATCAATATAAAATTCAAATCTTTTTCAAACCATTTAATTAAATTTTTCAGATTTATTACGGAATTTGGGTAACAGTCTGTGTAACGGCATCTTGGGTTGGTGCCACCCATTGCATAAAATATCTATTTTTACCAATAAGAGAAGAACCTGCATCTTCTATTGAAACGAACGATGAATCGCTAAATATCACACCGGTTTATACTCATTATGTAAGCCAAATAAAAAAGGAAGAAACTTTATTTCAAAATATTTTTGTATTTTAGGCTGTAACATATAGAGCTCCATTCTTCACAACATGGTTCTTAACTTCTTGGACTATACTTTTCTTTCCCATTTACTACGTAATCCGACTGTTATCGAAAAAATGCGTAAATCCGATCGACATTTTATCGGAGAGTGTGCGTGATTTTAAGGAGAAAGGTTTCACTGCGGGTAAGATTTTAAACTTACAATGTAAAATAATCTGCAAAAAACACGTAACATGCTAGAAATGTTTTTAAAATAAGTTGTTTGCTTAAAAAAAATTAAAAGCAAAAATCTATTTTTCTAGTTAGATTTTCAGTTCGTTGCAGCATTTTTTGCCTTCTCTGGGTTGGAACCAACTACATGTACGTAAGATCACTACAGATCTTGTTGGCTACCGATGTTATGTCACTGTTCGCCACGAACATTTCGTCAGTTTATCTTCTATCATGGGTTATTTTACACGAGCAATTCGTCGGGATACGGGTTAATAATATATTAATTTACACTGTTGTTTTTAATTGAAAGAAACATTTTCTTTTCTGTAGATTATGGCTGTGATAATGTGTGATACGGGAGTTGCTTTATTAGCCTATATGGATGGTATAACCGGAAGTCCAACGTTAGGCGGAGTCGTTTTGGCAGCTTTGGCAGCGGGCGGATCGGCTGTTTATAAAGTTATGTTTAAGAAAGTTATTGGGGATGCCTCTTATGGGCAGGTAGCCCTATTCTTTTCTGTCATCGGGACGTTAAATGCTATATTATTGTGGCCCGTTTGTGTCGGACTATTTTTGACTGGTGTCGAAACGATGGAATGGACCGAAATACCATGGATCGCACTTTTAGGGGCCAGCGGATTATCGTTAAGTATGCAATTTAGTGTGTTATATACAGGGTGATTCACATAAGAACCGACACAGAGCAGGGACATATGGAGGACAATAAATTAAGATGATTTAACGCAACTTATCTCTATACTAAGTTGTACCCCTCAGGAGTTATAGGCCTTCAAAGTTGGGTCTTAAATTTTTAAAACATTGAATATTTTCGTAATACATTAAGAGGATAACCTATTAGCAAAAACAACGAATACCATTTTATTCAGCCATCGTTTAAAATTTTTGTATGTTTGTTACATCAAAATTTCAATTTTTTTATATAGTTTTTAGTGATGCATTTAGTTTTTTCAAAAAATGTCGCGTAACGTTTCTAAAATCACGTTTTAAAAAATTTTTAAAAACGGAATGCATCACTAGGTAGTGAAATGTAAAGTAAATCATATTTAAAGAGTTCAATTTTTTTATTAAATGCAGCAAATTTAAATAAAATGGGTTTAAAACGTGTAGTCGGTTTTGATTGCTTGCGGAGTATAAATACGGCAACATCGCAAATATTGCTCCGTCCCAAACATTGCCCGAGACATAGTGGAGCTCGGTATTCTCAGTAACCGAGACGTCGGCGTAGTGTCTCCCAAGAAAAACAAACCTGAAGCGATTAATATTTTCGGATAGATCAAAAAATTTGTATATCATTAATTTAAATTTAAACATTTAATTTACGTAGAATGCAAAACAATGTCTAAATGTGGCAATACATTTTTAATAATGAGAATATTTGCACAATTATCTGATCATCTACTATTAGATTAATTATTAAAATAAATACAAAATAAAAATATAAAGAAGCACCAAAGGTATATTTTAAAATAAATAATACAATATAAATAATAAAAAAATATATTAACTCATAAAAAACTAAAAATTTTCTTAATAACAATTTTTAAATTTTTTCAAACATTTTCTGATATAAGGGTACTAAAATTTTACATCATCGTAAAGAGAAAAACAATCTCTATCAAATGAGCCTAACGAAAGGGTACATTGCCATTTAAAAAAATTCAAGTGTTATTCATTGCTCATTTGTTTTCTGAAATATAAACAATTGAATGCTGTCTTATTATGGCAAATAAAATATTAAACAACTTTTGTATAAAATGTTTTTTTATAAAGTCAACATTTACCGAGATATATACTATATTCCATAAATAATGGGCACCCTATATAAAATATATGGTGTTTCTGTAAGTGGTGGCATAATTTCAACCACATATACTGCTAGAGCAAAAATTATGACAGCTAGTCTAAACATTTTTAATCTTTAAATACAGGTTGATTTATTAGCTCACCATCAAACTTTGACATATGATAGCTAATCCAATTACCAAAAAAAAAATGTTAATGAACATATATCCTATTTCAATTATTTACGAAATTATAACACTTTAAAGTTTTCTGCAGCGAATTTATTAATAGTCAGTAAAATCAAACATTCAACAAAAACAAAGTTGTCATTGTAATATATCAGTTTGCTGTAAGGTTTAATTATTACATACAAGAAGAAACTCAAAATGTACGCTTATAGCACTGAAGAGTATGCTGATATAATTTTCGTGTATTTTTTTTGCAATTGAAACGGTCGACAATCAGTATCAGAATATCAAGAAAGATTTCCACAGCGTCATTTGCCATATTATTCAGTTTTTAGCGATTCTTTCAGAAGACTTTGAGAAACAGGTAATCCTATTCGACCGCATGTAGTTAATGTAGCGGACGAAGAAGCTGTAATTAATGCTGTCATTGATAATCCTTCCATCAGCACTCGAAGAATAGCACACAACATACATGTAAGTCAACATTTTGCATGGCGCGTATTGAATCGACAAGTCCTTCATCCGTATCGTAAACAGAACGTTCAAGCTCTACAGCCAGGAGATAATCAGCAACGGTTAGCATTTTGTGAATGGTTATTGTAGTAACATGCCCAAAATAATGACTTCATTTCAAATGATCGCTGGACAGATGAATCATGTTTTACACGAGATGGTATAAATAATTACCATAATGAACATATCTGGGCATTACAAAATCTGCATGCGATTAGACCAAGGAAATTTCAACAACGTTTCAGCATCAACGTTTGGGGTGGATTATTTAACAACAATTTACTAGGTTTGCATGTACTTGATGGACGTTTGAACGCTGTAAACTACAGATTTTTTTGAACAACACACTTTTTGATTTACTTGAAGATATACCTCTTAATGTATGTAATTCAAAATATGTGGTACCAGCACGATGATGCCCCCCTCATCGCGGAAGAGTAGTTGTCGAGTGGTTAAATAAATATTTTCCAAACAAGTGGATTGGTAATGGTCCATTTGCTTGGCCACCTAGATCCCCCGACCTTAATCCATTGGATTTCTACTTATGGGGTCATATGAAACAAATTGTGTATCAAGTGGAAATTAACACACGAAAACAGTTATTAAACAGAATACAAATGGCTGCTACTGACACAAGAAATCAACCAGACATTTTAATTCAGCTGAAGAACTCTTTAATTCGTCATTGTGAAGCATGTATTCCTCCTTCAGAAGGAGTCTATTTTGAACAATATTTGTAATATTTATGTGTTTTAAAAAAAATGTAGCAGTTAATTATGATATAAAAATGAAAACTTTAAAGTGTTATAATTTCGTAATTAATTAAAATAGGACATATGTTCATTAACATTTTTTTTTTGTAATTGGATTAGCTATCATATGTCAAAGTTTGATGGTGAGCTGATAAATCACCCTGTATAAATCAATAAATGGCTAAGGTATAGATTACCTGTAATAATTTCAATGATTTGTCATATACAAATAAAATTTGGTATACTGTGCAATTTTATAATGAGAAATCTGATAAGATCGGCATCCACCAACATCCCTTTTCGTAAAAATATATAATTTTAACTAACAATTGATAATAATGAAATACTAGCAATAACAGCTATGTTCCAAAAAGCGGCCCCGACTCGTATTCATATGCATTCAACTAAGAATAACATCAACGTCGCTGATTGTCGGGGAATTACCCGACAATCGGACAGTCCTAGTCGCCATCGGCCTGGCGCGCCGGCCGATCGAGTACACATGGAGCGGTGTTGCCGCATTAAGCGTGTTCACGATCGAATCTCGTTTCGAATTTTTCGCCAGCTAGGTAGGCCTCTTAAGCTAGAAAAACCAAATTTGGTATACGTTATTATGAGTGTTCCGAGGGTATTAATTGGTAGCAAGTTGAGACCAATTGAGGCATTCCAAAGGGTTGATTAAGGGTGATGGTCCACTAAATTTTGACAGATTTTTTTAACCTTTTGGTGGATTTAATGCATTATTACCTCATTTCATGTGGAATTTAATTCTAAAACTTTTTTTACTCTTATTATTTTTTAAAAAACATTGTCGTTTTCATAAAAAACTCAAATAACTAAAGACACGTATTTCGTTAATGCTACTTAATATCATCGAAAATTCAGTAGTCGGCTGTGAAATTGTACGTCAAACTTGACAAATAGGTTATAAAATCTTGTTGTCAAATAACTTTATAACCTATTTGTCAAGTTTGACGTACAATTTCATAGCCGACTACTGAATTTTCGCTTATTTTAAGTAAAATTACGAAATAAGTGTCTTTAGTTATTTAAGTTTTTTATGAAAACGACAAAGTTTTTTAAAAAATAAATAATAAGAGTAAGAAAAGTTTCAGAATTAAATTCCACATGAAATGAAGTAGCAATTTATTAAATCCGCCAAAAGGTTAAAAAAATCTGTCAAAATTTATGGTACCATCACCCTTAATCAACCCTTTGAAATGCCTTAATGGAGTTCAATTTGCTAACAATTAATACCCTTGGTACACTCATAACTTATACCAAATTTGGTTCTTCTAGCTTAATTTATTACGAAGATATTGAACTTTTTAAAAATTTAAGAGCCAACTTTGAAGGCCTATAACTCCTCAGGTGTACAACTTAGTATAGAGGTAAGTTACTTTAAATCATCTTAATTTATTGTCCTCTACATGTCCCTGCTCTGTGTCGGTTCTTATGTGAATCACCCTGTATGTATGGTATTGATTAAAAAACCAACATTCTTTTAGTTGCAAATCTATTGGGAAATTTCAGTGTGGCTTTAACATACGATTTGTTTATAACGTTGGGGTTAATAACTGCTGTACCAGTTTCGGCAGGTAAGTTAATCTTAAAGTACGTAAAAAGCGAAATAAATTATGATATATTTTTTAAAAGCTCTAGACGTAATTCTTTACGATGCTCAGTTCGAAGGGATGAAATTAGCAGGAATTATATTAATAGCCGTTGGATTTTTCTTGGTTTTGTTTCCGGATAATTGGCCGGATTACATAACGCGACTGTTAAGGTAAGAAAATTTGGAACAAAGTAAGTTTAAAAAGAGTCATTATAATCTTCAATAAATAATATTAGTTGATAAGACGAGTGGTTTTGGAAGTATTAAATTAAAACTTAACTTTTGATTATCTAAAAAATTTTTTTAAAAGAGAATCGGGGACGGAAAAAAGGTCCCGGTTCTTGATTTGGTAATTTTTTTGATTTACAGAAAATCGAGTCGAGTCTTCAAGGGCCAGGTTTGTTTAAGAACTACTAAAGAAACCGTAAATTTTAATATCAAATTGTCGCTAAATAGCTAATTAACATCGAGAAAAATCATCTTTCATACATCAAACATTTTGCATTAAAACAATAACGTTATTTTATAGGCAATAACAAGAATAAATGCAATTTGTCTAGCATTTTTTTAAAATTTCGTTGATACACAAATCTCGTATTACCTTCTCGAGTACCTATCATGTCGATTCTCTAAGATTTGATGCAATTATTCTTGTCACATCCTGTATATTATCAAACCCGTGCTACGATGGCAACAAACTTTTACCCGTAATTTCCTATTTACTTTCTTAGCTGATATCTTCCTTATTATTAGAGATAGCCAAACAAAATTCAAAAGTCAAAATTACCAAACTTCAAGTCCTTGTGCAATTGTTATCAATCTGAATTTTAAAAAATTGTTATCACAGTTAGAAAAAGCGCTACATCATATATTTTAATTCCTGGTTTTCGTCGGTCAATATCTATCGGCGTCATGCTTAAATCTCCCTTAATATACATCCCTACACGCAGAAACACTTAATCTTCCTCTAAACCATTCGAGTCGATGCGTCGTGCTGAGTAGACCTGTTTGTTTTTGCTTACCGTGCTTTCTCATATTCTACTGTGAAAATGACGGGAAAAAGTTCACGATCCACGGATGATGAATTCCTTATTGCAAAAGTAACGCAAAGAGTCTTAACTAGCGACGAATTTCTAACAAAATTACTGGCAAAAATACAAGAACACGTCGAAAAATCTTATTCCGCATAAACCGCATAAACAAACTTGAAAGTCAAGTTGAAGCGTTAAAAACCGGAAATTTTAAAACGCGTACGGAATGTGATAAATTGGAACAATACACGAGGAGAAATAATATTCGAATTTATGGTGTGGAGTATAAACCGAAGGAAGACACCGATCAAGTGGTATTGGATCTTATTAAGAATAAATTAGAGATCTCTTTGGAATCGCATTCTCTGGACAGATGTCATCGCCTGGGAAATTTAAAATCAAAAAACCCACCCATTATTGTGAAATTCATTATTCACAATATAAAAACGGCGGTTTTAAAGCAAAAACGTAAGCTAGCGGGTTTAAAAATTACTATTAAAGAGGACCTGACCAAATTAAGGGCAACACTTTTTAAGTCAGTTAAAAACAAGTTTGGTTTCCGGAACGTTTGGTCACGAGATGGAATTATCTTCGCTAAAAAGGATGACACTATTCATCGCTACGCTTCTGAAGAAGAGGTGTTGGCTGGAGGAATCCAAATCATCGATAGGGAACCGATGTCTGAATTTTCGCCAAGGGCCACCCGCAGTCGCAACGGTAGCAAGAACTGATTCGATTACGTTTGGTTGAAGAACTGATATAAGTACATTTAAGAAATATTGTATTTTTCTTTTTTTTGTTTTGTTTTCGTTATTTGTTTTTTTTTCTTCTTTTCGAAAAGAGTTTTCTCTTCTTTTTTTATCATTATAAATTTTTTTTTTTTTTTCTCTTTCTCCTTCTTTTTTCTTCTTCTTTTCTTTTTTCANCTGTCCTCGTATTTTGAGTGTTCTTTGCCATATAATTAATTTCTGCTTGAAAGAGTCAGTTTACCCGAGTGCGTGGAAGTTTGGTTTGGTGACTCCTGTTCCTAAAGCCAATCCAGTTAAGGAGTTTAAAGATCTTTTGCCTTCGTTTTGCCTTTTCTGCCCTTGCACCCTTTGAGCTATAATTTAAGTTTAATGTTATTGTATTTTTCCTTATTATTGTATTTTGTTTTTTTCTAATTTGGCTCAATAAATTATTATTATTATTATAAAAATAATCAAGCTTTCAAGTTTTTCGCTATCTCTAATAACAAGGAAGATATCAGCTAAGAAAGTAGATAGGAAATTACGGGTAAAAGTTTGTTGCCATCGTCGCACAGGTTATTATCAGATATTACATGACTGGTTGCCCAAAAAAACTTAGCGTATTATCTGTGAAGGTCTCTTTGCGATGCCATGAGCATTGCAAAGGCCCGTCAAAGACAAATGCTTCACAATCTCAAGAAATTAACTCATAAGTCTTAAAACAAATCTTTCAACATTAAAAGTACTAACCAAACATAAATATTTGAAAATTTGCAAACACAGGACAAATTTTTGAAACAACAAATTAATGAACTTGTGCATGAAGAGAAATACAATTTTTTTCTTTTGCACATTTTACTTGCATTCAACACCAAATATTCAAAAATCATTTTTGTCTATTGCTAGGCTAATTTCTAATTTTTGATTTCCAATAATAATAAAATTAACCACGTTTAGCTTTCGAGCACTTTTAATGATAACACAGGCCGACAAATTTTTAAACCAGACACCAGACTATACCTTCCAAATAATTTTCGATACCTTGAATCCGAATCTGACGTCAGAATTGCTTCATCACCTAAGATTTTCGAGATATCTTACCTAAAATATGCGAAAAACACGATTTTTCAGCACATTCAAGGCTGAATTTACATCAAAAGATAATTTTTCTCCACAGAAGTCATTATGCCATTTAAAACTATTTCTCTGCCCCCTTAAAATCTTATGTTATTCATTTAAATATTTTTTTTGATCTCTGAGAAATTGTCTCCTAAAACTAAGAAATTCATCATATTTGAAATAACATCTGTTTATTTTCCAGTTTTATTTACAAGTTTTAAAATGTTTTATTAACACTTCAAAGCAATACAAAATATTAATAAATAACAAATAACAACAAACGTANGGGCGTGTCTCCGTTTGATATTTGGTATACGTCGAAATCAAAGGATCTCTTACAAGTTGCCCGAGGTACGGTGGCTGAGTATGAAAGCAAGGAGAATTTTTCATGAGGGAGTATTATTTTTCAAAATTATTATGTTCAAAACTCCGGCTTACTCCGGCAGAAAGAACTGCCTGTCTATCCTGCCTCATAGCACCCAACTGTTTAAAAGGTCTTTTTCTTACAGAATTGCTGATTTTTGGAATTCTTTGCCGGAAGCTTTGCGCTCTAAACAATCAGTGCCTGCCTTCCAAAAGGCATTTAAATTACAATTTGTTTTTTGATGTTG